GTAAATATTTTAAAATTACAGGAATTTGAACATATCGAGCTGTTTTTACTTAATTTACATACACATAATACATGTGTTTATATGTATGTTGCAATGATTCTTTTTAGAGAAAATTACAAACTCATTCAATTTAGTCATTGTGAAAAAAGATTTTGTACATTTTCTCTATATACTAGTAAATTAGCTGTTTTATTTCAGAGATTTAAAAACAAACACTATTTGTATTGTATTTATTGTTATTTCCTATAAGGCATGTACTTTCATCAAAATAATTTTAAGTATTTAAGAATCAGAAAAAGATCTCAGAACTAGCTTATTCATGTGATTTAAAGCAAATTTTCATAAAACAACATATCTCATGTTTTTATATGGTGATTGCTTTCATAGAAATCATATGGTTGGATATTTTTTGTCAAGTAAGAAAATTTTAGCATTGCCAGATCAATACCTTGTGAATGACTTCAATAAATTTTAAGATGGTTTCAAGAATATATGTCTATTCTTGAATATATATATATATATATATGTGTGTGTGTGTGTGTGTGTGTGTGTGTGTATGTATGTGTATTTCTAAAATATATTGATTCCTAAAATGTACATATTTTTTTCTAGAAATACATAACAAATGTGTGTGTATATATATATATATATACACACACACACACACACACACACATATACCTATTTACAGATTAAATCTTTCTTAAGTTATCAATGATATAGGCTGTCGTCTCACTCACATAAAAATTTGAACACCAAAATTCAGACTTAAGAGTATTTGATTAAGAAAAAGCATTTGATGTAGAAGTTTGGGTTTCTCTTTTCTTTGAAGTTTTAGTCATTTGTTTAGACGATTATTTCTGTGACTGTAGCATTCTTAAAATATGTTTGAATCGTGAAATTTTAAGAATGAAAGAAAACACTCAGAAATATTCTGTTTTCCAAAAGAGGGAACTAACTAGGGAAGATAAACAGAGCCTTGCTCAAGGGCCATATCAATAGCAAAGGGCGGATTTTGAACTCAATCTGTGGCTTAGAATCTTGTGTGCTTTTCATGTTGAGTTGCAGTAGGCCCTGAAGTATATTATAAGGGTGTAATGAAGGAACTTGACCAATAGGAAGTTCATTTGGGAAAGGAAAGCAAGAATTTTCTGAGGTGGTGGTGGGGGGAGAACTGCTGGAGAAAAGACAAAATAAAATGTAGTGTTACTCAAAGTTTGGAAGAAAAATGAGCAAATGAAATATAGATAACTTTAAAAGAGCATCGTCTGTGGCAGGTAGCACGTTAACCCATACTGTTTATTTTGAGCAAGTTGGTGACATTTAGAGAAGCAAGGGTTCCTGCAGTTTTCAGTAGGTGGTCAGTTTGACATTTCTGTATAATGTCTCACTGGGCTAATAAAACCTGTCGATTCCTGCTGGCTCCATTTTCCTTTTATTCTTTCTGTTCATTTTAAAGTAACAATTTAGTAAATCACAGTAGATAGACAAATGCTAAAGTCAAGTGTTTTTACACACTAAAATTTTTTAAGCCTGAAATATTTTTACATAACAGATGAAAGAAGAGTGAGTAATTTTGCCAGAACTCTGTAGTCTTTTTTTAAAAAAAACATCTCATTTGTCAACACTTAAATATTCAGTTTAATATCCAATAAAACCAATCATATTTTAAATAAGCCCCACAATTATTATCAAAACAGATTCATGTGTCTTGGCAACTAGAAAATAACATGGACATCTGTTACTGGCAAAATAAACCAAAATAAATTGAACCATAGTGACTGTTGCTATAATTTGGTAATTAATTGATATTTTAAACTACAAATTTGTACTACCTAACAGCAGCCGAACCTTTATAATTATGTTCTATTAACAACATGCCATATCACCCACAGATCTCTTTTAATAATGTTCCAAAAATATAAAGCAGATTCACCATTCTACCCAGCATTCTCTCTCCTAAAATTACCTAGTCTCCTGTATTTATGTGAGACTTGTCACAATTCAGTTAGTTTCTTCACTTTTTTTTTATCACTTCCCATGATTTTAGTTCTTTTTGCTTTCTTCTTACCTCTAAGAAAGTATCCCTACTTCCTAACATATGGTTAGAATCTATCTTTGCTCTTGATTACATGGTCCCACCTAGGATATTTTTGTATCCACTGTCATTTTTTTTTTTTTAAGTGGAATTGGAATTGTCTCAACTCTGTCTCTGTTTGTGGACGTTGGAACTATGGAGCCAATTTGGTTTATTCCCATCCAAGTCCAGAGGTCTATGGAAGGATCTGGCTCCTTCCCTCTACATTTAGATGTTCCCCTCTGTTTTTTCAGTACCTTATCATGTTTGGAGAGCACATGAGTATCTTTGGGATATGAAAGAGGAGATATTTTGGGGAGAGGGGTTATGAAGGGGATTTGTCCTCCTGAGATTGGCAAGCATTAGGAAAGTATCTGTAGAGCCCCTTCACCTCATCAGCCTGCAATAAGAACTACTTCAGGAAGCTGAGATAGGAGAGTTCAAAGCCAACCTCAGCAAAAGTGAGGCACTAAGCAACTCATTCAGACTCTGTCTCTAAATAAAATACAAAATAGGGCTGGGGATGTGTCTTGGGGGTAGAGTACCCCTGAATTCAATCCTTAGTATCCCCCTGCCAAAAAAAAAAAAAAAAAGGAGGTCTACTTAAGTAGCTCCTCAGCTCAGCCATTGTCTCCTTCAAAGTAATAGTAGGTACTTAATGGACAAAGGGAAGTGTTCTTACTGATGTTTCCATTCCTTAACAGGAATAGTCTTATTAAGTAGGGGAGAACCCCAATCCACCTCTTTTTTTTTTTTTTTTTTTTTTTACTTCCATGGGTTTTACTATACTTTAAGCTAAAACCAACATGGTCATGAATACTTGAAGATATTTTTCTTTATCTCTTGAAACAATTTTTATGAGTAAACTGAATGCAATGCTTGTTTAGGGCTTTGAGTTTTCTATTCTTGATCCTCATTTTTATTTTTTTCCTTCTTGATAATCACTGGTATTATAAGCCAAGTTTTTGCTGATTATTGGTGAAATGGGCTTTATAGTTTTGTTTGAAAGTAAAGCTGTTCATTAACTTTTTTCTATGCTCTTTATTCCAGTCATAGAAATCTTAATTCTTTCCAAGGCAATGAATGACACTTGGAGTTGAACTAGGGAGAGTTATATAGTTGTATTTGCGCAAAAGAAAAAAGAGTCAGTCAATCTACTTTAAAGTATAATTGAAAATTATATTTTAAATTAATTGCACCTCTGCTCTATTTTTATTAAATTCTACATCTTTTCATTTATTGGCTTCATTCTTCATCCATCTTATATTCTTCAGCATTCCCCTAGGAAACTCCTTTTTTTATGTTTTCACCACTGATATTTTAAAGCAACATTATAACATGCATGTCTTTTCTCTGAATTTTTTGCCACTCCAACAAGGAAATATCGACCTCCAGATTCACTTATATGGAATGTTTCCTAGAAGGTGAGATGTTTCTCCTTCTAGTTAAGATTAATTTCTGTGCTTATCCTTTGGCTCTCATGAACAGTATCCTTTCTTCTCCATCGCCAGAACATTCCTGCATCAACTGACTTTCCCCCGCCCCCTGTCTTCAAAATCTTTCCTTCTACTTCTCAGGATCTTTAGGTTTTGTGTATAAATGGTGAAATTACAAAAGAATGATGTCACTTAATTCAAGTCTTTGCCCAAGTTATTTTTTTAACTGTCTTTCTTTGATAGTATTAAAAAAACTTTCATTCATTCCTAAAGTAGCTATTTATTGCTTATTGCATGCCAAAACACTGTTCTAAACACTATAAATACATAATTAACACGACAGACTATCTATATCTTGAAGGAGGAGATGATAATAAACTAACACATATAGTGTGTCAATGGGTAATAAGGACCACAGAGAGAAATAAAAGCAGGCAAAAGTTAAATTTGGCTGTGCAGCACTGAACAATCCAATTTTTAATTTTGCGTTGGTTTTTAAATATTTTCTGGTTTGAAAATACTACTTATTAACTCTTATTTATTCAGTCTTATATAGCACTATATTGTACAAAATGCTTTTGAGGCATTATTGACTATAACATGGAAGTTCATTGTTGATTTTTGTCCACCATGAATAAGAAGGACCTTTTTTTAATTATTAAATTTCAAAGTGATTTCTCTAAGGTATTATTTTAGCATGTCTTTTAAATTTGGGCTATGTGTTTTGGCCTTTTCTTTCTTTTCAAAAAACATTGTATAGCATGATATATTCTAGGAGTTTTCATACGTGTACAATTACCTTTAAGTTATCACATCGCCATCTTTGATTTAGGCATTGCAATGTGAAAATCCGAATTTTGTATCTTTACTCATACAGAGGACATAAATTTTACCCTTGCTTCTACTGAATATTACTCAGCCAAGGGCTGAATAAGTGGTCATATTTCTGATTTCCATAAGGATATTAAGGCCTAAATTATTATTTTAGTGATATAAAAACTAATAGGTTAATCCTTTCATTAGATGAAAATCCTGATATGAATAGAGGATAAGCACATCTTTATTTTAGCCAAAATTATAGCCCCAATTAATGCATAAATAAGAACACAGGTAGCTCTGAAGGTGAGAAGATGAGAACAAGAGCTAATGCTTGACTTTGAAGAGTCTACTAACTTGTCTAAAGTCACAAATTCAAGCTTCTTCATTTACTTCATTGAAAGATGATAGTAATTCAGGAATTGTGTTAGCTTTTTGTTATGACAAAATAACTTGAGAAAATCAACTCAAAGGAAGAAAGATTTATTTTGAGTCATGGTCTCAGAATTTTCAGTGTGTGGACACTTAAGTCCATTGCTTTTGGACCTGTGGTGAGACAGTACATCATAATGGGGAGCATTTGGTGGAATAATGCAGCTCACCTCATAGTGCACAGGAGGCAGAGAGAGAAAGAAAGCATTTATGATCAAAACATACCCTTCTAGGGCATGCCCCTGTGACCCAGTTCCTCCAATGAGGATCCCCCTTCTCCAATTTCTACCACCTCTCAATCAAACCATCATATTATGAGTCAATCAATGGCTAATCCACTGGTGAGGTAAGTTAAAATCCTCAAGATCCTGTCATTTTTCAAAAATTCCTTCAACACATGAGCTTTTTTGTGTTGTATGTGTGTGGTGGGTGGGCATTCAAGATCCAAATTAAAACTATTCTGAGAAAGGACAATCAATTTGAATTAGAAACGATATTATAGATCATCTAAACTTTATGCCAGAATCAATTTGCTTAATTTTGTATAAGGGAAAGAAAAGTGATTCAAAACTATAGATATGTAAGTAGTTAATTAATTGTTTTTTTCCACAAAAGACAACTATCAGTAGAATTACACATTGTAGGGCTAGGGATATAGCTCAGTGGGTAAATTGCTTGCTCACATGCGCAAGGCCATGTGTTCAATCCCTAGCACCATCACCAAATCAACAAAAAAGAATTATACATTGTGCAATATATCTTTCAAATTAGGAGGGATGGCAAGAATTAAAGTGTTTAAGAGTTCATGTTTCTTAGTATTCCAAATAACTAGCAATATTTACTTAGTTTTAAAATCCTCAGTTTTTTCTTTATAACCTTTTTTTCTTCATGTATTATTCCTAGAAGGAACACACTAAATTGTAAGATAAATAAAATTGTAAAACTATATTTTGTTTTTGGGGAAGTGGGGAGGTAAAATCAAAACAATGAAATAAACACTGCCTTCATATGAGAACATTTTGGTAATATTAAAAAAGATAACCTTCATTTCTTAAAGAACAAACCAAACGATATTTGGCAGAAATTGAATGACAGAAACTTTAAGAGTTGAGTATTTGAATATTGAAAGTGTATGTTTTAAGCCACAGAAAATTTTAAAAATAAAATAATTTTAAAAAACGATTGAAACAAAACAGAAAAACATTTTAAAGTGAAAATCACATTGCTGTCTCACAGCCTTGAGATAATTTCTTGTATTGATGCAGGAATCAGAATTTCAAATATTGCTAATAACAAGAGATGATGTAATCTCAGACTTAAGCCAGGAATTTGTTGTTGATCCCAAGGGATGCTCATAAACTAAGCCATATAATTTGGTATTTGACTCTTAGTTTTTGAAGATTATGGATCCATAACTACAGAGTGATGTCTCATGAGAGAATTTCTAGATCATTTCTTTATTGAAACATAGATCCTATTTCAGTAGCAGTAACATATGCATAAAAATTTCTCAGAAAAGACTATTCACTGGGAAGGAGTATCCATGGGGCCAGTGATGGCATAAAAATATGCATTTACAATGAATTTAAGTCACAAATTTTGATACATAATTTACATTTTTGTTTAGTATAAATTTAGCAATCCAAAAGTGGGCTCAACATGTATAAGATGAATTACTAGGTAGTATAGGAGACATAGCACCTGATAAGTGTTTAAGAGGGATTGGTTAGGCACAATACACATATAACACAAAGTTATAACCATTTGGTTCCATAATTTCTCACTATTTGCCTGAAACAATATCACTTAGTAGGTACTTAATATATATTTGTTGGGCAAATGCATGTGATTGATAGATATTCTCAGAGTACAAAAATGTTATACATATTCAAAAGGTAGGTGGTACTGTGTGGTGTATGTAGAGTATATGTAAGTTTACCATAGGTTGGTAAAGAGAAGCATTAAAATAGATTATAATAAGTGCTGTGTTGACTTCTTTGAGTGTGTGAGCATGTGCACTCACAATGTGACAAAGATTGGGGCATCTGATTTTGTCTCCTGACTTCTGAACTAAGATGAATAGGAATTGATCTCCTAAATTTATCTCTCAGGGGAACATTAATCCTGAACTAGTTCTAATTCTCCCCTCAAACCACATCCTTAACATAACATTTGTGTTATGTTGAATGTATATAATATTTTACAGTCATCCCACCACATTTTGCCATGCTGATATTCCACTCCATTATTTGAAAAACTTTCACTGTACTTAAAGTTTATTATACTCCTTGTATGTATAGGATGTCAAAATATACTCCACTGGCATATATATCTAAATAGACCAAACAAAAAATTTTAAAACGTATTTTTAAAAAGTTTGTCATTATATATACATCCTAAATGACAAATATGCAACTTGCTAACCTCTGCATTCCGTAAGTCACATTATAAATACATGTTTGCTTTGGGCTTCTGCTTTAATATATGATAGGAAGTTGTCACTAATTTCATTTTGCGTGGCATTTCTTTCAGTTGTTTCCTTTACAATTGTCTGGACTACCTTAAAACTGTAAACTGTGTGCACCTGTATGAGCTGCCTAAGTAGTACATGGCTTGCCTATATA